CTCACATCTTGGCTGGAACTGAAGAACTTGCTGCCAAGGAGCAGTGAAGCATATTGAAAGGTTTGTTAAGTCTTAAAACTTGCAAAGTTAAGTCTTAAAATCTGTAGCCTTTAAAAATTGCATTCTTGGAAAGGGRTCTAACTAAAAGATCTTTACTTTCAAACAGGCTGGGATATTTCATTGTTGAGCACAGCAGTTAACAGGTATTTTTAATTACTCTTTTAGGTGGAAATGGGCATGAARAACCATGAAATAGTTCCTGCTAGCTTAATTGCTTCCATTGCTAGCCTTAAACACGGCGGTTGTAATAAAATCTTGCGRGAGTTGGCGAAGCACAAGCTCGTGGCTTAYGARCGAACTAAAAGTGAGTTTGGATTTTGTGTTTGTKTGTCMCTTTCTCATCYTGTCCCCAGTGTCTCACRGTGCTACCTGCCCTGGGATGTAGGAGTGGCCAGAGTGTTTTATTTGCCTTTATCTCTTGGGCTTACCATGGGAATGTGAGTTTGTGCAGTGCCMGATKCTGTGTCTGCTTGTGCCTSTGGASGTGASAGGCAGWAGRGAAATGAAYAATTAATTTCCTTCTTTGCTCATARTTGAGTGAAAAGKATGATCACTTAAAGCAAACAGCCCARATKAATTGTGYYYTCACRCAKACTGCRGWATCCTTGGACATTTCACTCCCTCAGAAACAGCTTTTRTTATCTGCAATGTGACAAAGTTGTGCAGGTCTTTCCYCATTTCCTTCYCAGCCTTTTAGTTAGCYCTGCAAACTTCTCCCAGTTGGGGAGTCTGTGGGARATACCTCTCCYTTTTGTCATTTTTTCAGAGGATTAAGGGTTGCTCTAGTCCAATTCAAACTTTACCATTCAGTCAAAGTGGGCTGGTAAGAGCCAAGGGGTGAAATATTACTGGGGTGCTCTGTACTGTAAGAAACAAGACTAAATTTTAGAGACTTAATTTTAAATGTGATTTATGCATAATAAGGAGTGAAATGTATTTTATTTTTTCCCAGCTGTGCAGGGTTATCGGTTAACTAACGCAGGATATGATTAYCTGGCTCTGAAAACKCTCTCTTCCCGACAAGTCATCACTTCTGTGGGAAACCAGATGGGTGTTGGCAAAGAATCAGGTAAATAAAAATAACATTTTTAATAATCTTGTTAAGCAAACACATCCGTATGTTGCAAATATTTTGCTAGAAACCCGGTAAATTTTCCCCTGGATGGTCACATCAGTTAATCTGTCAAACACTAAGATTTATTTGAAATATTCAAATGCTGTGTGAGGCTTCTGGCTATTTGAGTATTTCTTCTCGAGTGTAATTGCACTTTGCCTATTTTGTCTGGTTCTTAGCTCATCTTGCAGGCAGATGCTGCTTGTGTTGTTCTTYGKGAAGAKTTTCAAACCATTTTAACAAAAWGATGATTTCAGCTTTTTCATCCCACTCAAAAATAAAGTAAAATAGGCTCAGAACTATTGAGACATTATCTTGGTTCCTCTTGTGTTCATGTAACTGACACAGAATGTGACTAGTGTGACTGGGGAAGGGGATTACTGGGGACAAATGCTAGAAATGAAACATTGGGTATTTTTTAACATTGTTTAAATCAAGAGTTTGGCCCCTTGGGTTTCCTGTCCACTCTGAAGGAAGGAAAGGCTCTTCCAGGGTGAGAACCCCAAAACATTCAAATGTTTCAGATCCCATCAGTGGGATTGGAGTAGTGTGAATTTTTAAACAGGAATTTGTTCTTGTTCATATCTGAAAAACACTATGTAGATTTAGCTGCCTTTACTGACAGTGCCAGAAAGAGTCCGAAGTGAGGTAATAACTTAAACTGAACTTTTACAATTTCATTAGGTAGAATTTGTTTGTTAGATCTGTTCCCTGACGTGTCTTCTAGACATTTACATTGTTGCCAACGAAGAGGAGCAGCAGTTTGCRCTGAARCTGCACCGGCTGGGGAGAACCTCYTTCCGCAACCTGAAAAACAAACGCGACTACCACAAGCACAGGCACAAAATGTCCTGGCTCTACTTGTCCCGGATAGCAGCAATGAAGGAGTTTGCCTACATGAAGGTAGGTGGCCAGTGGCAGCAGTGGTGGGACAAGCTGGATCAGTTTGTACTTTCAATAAGATTTATGTTTCATTTTCTCTTTGCCCTAATGGATTTAGAGCATACAATTCATACGCTTTCAGTGCTATGTTTTTTGTGTACTTCCCAAAATGAAGCTTTGCCATGGGAATCACGTGGAACAGAAAGCAGGTGACATGAGGGAATTTCAAACTGACAGTGTTATTTATGGGTAGATCATCTCTTTATAGATACTTATCACCAGCTCTGCATATTTTTCCTTTAAAATTTATATCATAAGTTTGCAAGCAGCTATAATTTCATAGGGTTTTTTTTTTTTACATTTATCATATTTTCAGTTGTTGCTTGGCTGTTGAGAGAAAGCTTTTCATCTAGAGCAGTGTTCTGATCTAAAAAGGCACACTTCATCCTGCACTGTGAGAAAAGATTTTATTTCCCTGCATATGTTGATATGCTCAAGAGTTCTGGTTTTTTTACCTGCTTTAAAAACACACAGAGATTGTAGACTGATTGAAAGATTGAAAACTAATTATTTATAGCAAACTAGTTTTCCTTTTTCCTTTTGTCTGTTCAAGAGTCGTATATACATGAAATACAATTTTCTTGTTCTTTTAGAAAARAACAATATCAGTGGCCCCCACAGACAGAGAAACAATTGATACATCATTTAGAAATTCCATATTTGTCCAAATGGTCCAACTGGTAAAGAATCCTGTGGTCAGAACTTGTAGGAGTACGATTGTGGGGGTCAGTTTCCTTGAGCAGAGGGTTGGGGGAGGATTAAATGTGTGCTGAAAAGCAGTAGTAGCTTAATACCTAAATAACAAAAGCTGTATTTKTGTTGCTTTAACTTAGGATTCTATCTTAGAAAAAAATCAGTGGTTACAAGGGAATGAGTAAAAAGAATGAATTAGTAAAAAAGTTAAGTGGATCAAATGAATTAATAAAAAAGTTGAATGGATTGAATTCATGCTGGAAAAACAAAACAGGAGAGCTTCAGAATGTTACAACCTGCTTTTGGTTAATCTTCATTGTGATATAATGCTGATTGTCRATATTGAAGGATGAACTTTTGTCTTCAGAGCAACTGAGTATTGATTGACTAATTTGGCAGAACTGTGTTGACAGCAGCTTAGTGTGATGTTCTTTCCTATTGCCCCATTTCCACCCCATTTCCAGTTATCTGCTGTTGATTACTTGGGCTAATGTACCAGATGAGATTCTTGTTTTGTGCATTTTGCTGTATTTTCCTTTCAGATGCACAATAATTAAACTGTAGGCAKTGCACGCAGTCTCTAATTACAGGAATTTTATTTGTGTTTGCAGAGAAAGTTCAAAGGCTGTGAGGCTGTTTTCCTTAAGAACATGATTTGAGCAATGCATGCTGCTGTCACAGTCACATGTACTGTTTATCTTAGATGTGAGTTTTTCAATAAATGTAATGATTCTGTAACTAATTTTAATTTTTCAATGTTTTCTCTCTTTCCAGGCTTTGCATGACAGAGAATTTCCTGTCCCAAAACCCATAGACTACAACAGGCACGCAGTGGTTATGGAACTTGTTGATGGATATCCTTTGTAAGTCGTGAAGCTTGAACTCTCTGTATTAGAGAGACCCTGGCAACCCTAAGAAAGATATCAGGGTTAGGGTTTTTCTTTGTTTTCTACACAGAAATTGCATATTCTATATGTTACTTCATATAGAGAGTATTGAATATACTCTTTTATACTCGTTTGTGTTCTGAGCTCCAATTTGGGATCCTTCCTTTATTAATGCAGGTGAGTTTATAACTCACTGCTGTAGAACTTCTGCATTTGCATAGAATACCAGATATAATTGGCTTTGCATCTTTGAGAAACATTATTTTGCTTGAATTTTTCCAGCCGAAATATTATCGAGGTTTGTGTGTGAAGGCTTGGTTTGATTTTGAATGCAAAAAGCCTGTATACTTGATATACTGCAGGTTAATCCAGGTTTAATCCAGAAATCTCAAGTGTTTTTTCATGGAACAAACCAGTCCATGCTCTTATATCGTATTCAGGATCTAAAGTGGGCATTGGAATCAAAAGGGAATTAATTCTCAAGAGTAACAGCTGGAAAGTAACTGGAAAAGGCTTCATTGTATCCTGTCTCCCTACCTTCCTTTGTTAAATAATTCTGCATCCATCATGTAAACAGAACACCTGAGATACTTTGTGGAAGTCTGCAGCAGAAGTTTACTCTTTTTTTGTTTTCTTAACATAATCTAGAAAATACGGTTTTGTTTAAAAGAAAAATTGTCATGTGGGATTTGAATTTCAACAGAAGAAGACTTAGTTCCTACTGAGATTAAGATTACGTAAAACAGGAGAGAGACAGAATTTTTCTGTTCCCACCTAGACAAAGCCCTGAGCACTCTGGTCTGKTCTCAGATTTGACTGAGCTTTGAGGAGGATGCTGGACCAGAGATCCGAGGGACCTTTTAATTTGAATTACTCTGCATTCTGTCAGATGTATTTAATATACTTTGTCTGTATTTTTAAATTCAGTTATCAAGGTTCAGAATATTTTATTTAACTTTTCAGGTGCCAGGTGCACCAAATGGAAGATCCTGCTGCTGTCTACAGTGAATTAATGGATCTGATTGTAAAACTTGCCAATCATGGCCTCATTCATGGGGATTTCAATGAGTTTAATCTCATCTTAGATAATGATGACCATGCCACGTTGATTGATTTCCCTCAGATGATGTCAACATCCCATGCAAATGCTGAATGGTAAGTTCATTAAGGTTTTAATGGATTTAAAGGATTTAAAGGTGTTTTTAAAGTGARTCTGGCAAATGCTGATGACAGAAAACAGTCAACCATGACTTGTTTCAAAAGTCTTTTCCTGATTCTTTTTCTGCCATTGTTGTCATKCAGCACAAATAATGTTCCAACAAAGAATGAGTTGAAACATCTCTGTAGAATAAATATGTAATGAATTGCTTCTTAGAAATAATGTTTTTCAGTTAAGAAATAAAGTGCATCCAVTTTCCCTTCCTAGCCTTTTGTCTTGGGATCACTAATAGAAATTATTTTCAATTAAAGCCAGTAGAAGACAAGAAATGTAAGGTAAAGGTTTGTCATTGTAGTAGACTTAATTGATTTTTTTTTTTTTTGTACAATTCTCTGTTTTTACAGGTATTTTGACAGAGATGTTAACTGTATTAAGGAATTCTTTAAGAAACGCTTCAACTACGAGAGTGAGCTCTTCCCAACATTCCAGGACATCAGGTAGAAAAGAACACATGAGTTTGAGCTCTCCTACTTAACAGCATTAGTGTTGGTTTCCTGAGAAAAATGGATTGCTGTGAGAAAAATAGATGTAGGCCCAACTGTGCAATTTTAAATTGTATTTTTGGGATTCCTACTATGTTTTTTTCAACCAAAGTTACTGTAAGTGGTTTTCAAAAGCTAAAGTGTGCTTTAAAGTTTTCTGCAGCCTCAGGAAATCAGTCTGAAAGCTTGATTGAAATGGTGAATATCCAAAAAATGTTAACAGAGATACAGAATCAGCCTGTTTGACAGTTCTGGTATACTGAGGATTAGTTTGGGTTTCAATTATAAATCTGCTTTTAAAGTGCTTGTAAATATGGGAACTGCCCCTTCAAGCATTACTGCATTCAGACGTCTCTTCCTAATACCTTTTACCCCTTTGACAAAGTAACTTTTCATTCATTTTAAGACCAAAGCTGTTAGAATGAAAGTGGTTTTGTTTGATTCTGAGCACTTTTCCTAAGGAGTTCCACACTTCAGTCTTAGTTTGTCAGACCCCTTACTATTTTGTTTGTTTAAGCATAATTTGAACTTAAAAACCAAACTGCATTCTTGCTAAAGTAAAAAAATTCCTGTAAATAACCATTAATGCAGGTTATAGAGATGGAATCATTGTTTTCTAAAAAGTTTTCTTCTCTGAGGTTACATTCTAAGTTAGTATTTCACTTTAAGCTCASCACCATCATGTGGTGTTTTGTGTGTTTCAACAGAATATATCTTCTTTATTAATAATGGGAGTAATTTTAGTCTAGCTTGATTAGCATTTTAAACCTAAAATGCAGTATATTGGTAACTTGACATATTAAATTTAACACATTAAAAGAAAGCATTCCTCTTTGACAGGAGAGAGTGTTCTCTCGATAAAGAGATTGCTGCCAGCGGCTATGCCAAGGAGATGCAGGAAGATGGTGAGCTGCTTTACCCATCAGACTCCGAGGAAGATGACAACACAGAGCTGTTAGAACTTGCAGGAGATGCTGAGAATGAGCTCARCTTCTTCAGCAAAGATGAAGAGAACAGTGAGGAGTTCCTGAATGAAGTGGGTGATTTGTCTGAAAGCAGAGCCTGTGACAGCACCGYGAGCAGCAGTGAGGAAGAGACTGATGCAGCTGGAAGCTGTGAAAATACACAAAGGCTGAATGTGGCACAGTTGAGTTCAGCCTTGGAAAGGGCTGAAGAGACAGCTGTGCCTTGTAGATCCAGCGAAGATGCTGAGAGTTGTGCAAATACTTTATTTAAGAACAGAAATGTAACTGAAAATGCTGCTGAAGTGGAGAATCAGACAGGTCAAGGAGGGTGCTGTGAGGGTGACGAGAACAAGGACAAATGCCCTGAGCTCGTCAACTCTTCAACTTTAAATGAGGAATTCAGGAATTGCAGGTAAAGATTCAGCATCTAAGGAGTGTGGTTCCTCCCCTCCCCATAGTAAGTCTTTCAAGCAGTACAAGAAGGACTGCTCTTCAGCTACSCTTGTTTAAACTGAAGACTAAATATTCAATTTATTTTGACAACATKGCAGTGAATACATTACCTATTGGTCTCTTGATTCTCCAATATGTAGTAGTATCTAATAACAACAGGTCTTGCACTTAATTTGTGGACCAAACAATTTTCTCTGCTGGGTTTTCTCTTCTTTTTATTTATTTCAGTTAATATTTGTGATGAAGGAGCCGAAATGTTAAAATACAACTTCTAAATAGCTTTTCTGAGTTAAGTTTCTAATTCAAATACTGTGTCAAAACCAAATTGTTCCTCTGCTCACTCAGCTAGGTTAGCAACAACCTTGTTGGACTTTACTATTAAAATATGTCATATTCTGTTTTGTTCTGGCTTTTAATTCCTTTCCTGACACACTTATAAATTCCAACTTGACATCAGACTTTTATGTGACATTCTTGCTTTTGAGCCCACTCGGAGATCCAGTTCATACTCCTCTTCATCTGCTCTTGCTTTTCAGTTAAATTTGTCAAAACATTGCTCAAGATCTCAAATATTTTTGTTTAATTGCCCTGAGGCTTCGCTTTGTGTGCTTGGTATTTATGTGGTTGTTGTGCAATGAATTCTTCCTTTCATAGAGTGCAGGTCTTGGACACCCAGCATTAGTATTTAAAATAGAAACATTTTGTATCACTTCTGTGTTCTGCTGTGAGTTTTTAGGTTATAGCCCAGAAAGTGAAGCCTCAAACACTGTGCTCACAATGGCAAAGGATGTTTGTCTTGCTAGTGGAATAACACATTGATTTATTTGTTTTAGTAATAAAGAGTGCATCGTTCCTCTTGCTGGGCACAGAACAAGGACTGAGAGCATCACATCAGTCAGAACTGTTGGGAGCTGTTCAACCATTCCRCCGGTAAATRTTACTGTTRTTACCACCTAGKTTACCCTCAGACCGCCTTAAACTGCACAGAGCTGTTAGCACTGATTTCTGAAATTGTTCTCAGGCATAAGTTACCTTTATAAAGACTGTTACCWTCTACCTGTCCATTTTGCACTTCCATGCCCACACTAAAATAGGACTGATCCTGCTGTAATTCTTTGCAGGGAATGATTTCCAGCGTTCTGCTTCATGTTTGGTTCTTTATTCTTTCACTGAAGCTCCACATCAGCATAAACAACTCTCATTTACCCAAGTAACAATGTATTACCCAATATATTAATATAATGTACTAACAGCATCAGTCCATTCATTTTTGTTGCTAGGCACAATTATTTTATTTTTTATTTTGAAAGTGGATGCTTGAGTCRAGATTTAATTTGGCCTTTCTCTCCTGTCTCCTTAGAGGTTTCTATGAACTCACCTTTTATAGTGATCTCTTTGGCAATTTGAATTCGACTCTCTGCATTGTATACATAACGATATTTTCAGCTGAACTGAATGTATTTTTCTTAAACTCCAGATGATGCAGTGGGTGTTAGATGTACCTCGGCCACATTTTTTTAAAGTGTATTTTTATTTTAAAGGGAGAAAAATCCAGTGTTCTTTGTTAATTACATACTCACAATGGAGATCAGAGTTCAGAATGAAGCAAAAACGGAAGTAACAGCTGAAATTTCATKAAACTACTGCAGTTTGATGGAAGTGGCAGTCACCATTGCTGTTCCAGTGTTCCATGCTGTAGAGGCCCCAGAGAGTCCTRAACATTAATAAAATATTATGAACATTAATAAAAGAAAATTTATGGGAATTTCAGGAAATGGGAAAAATGGAGGGGGAATTTCAGATTGCTGCTGAATGCCTATCTGCCTTAGCTGCATTCATGTTAAAGAATTATATTTTTTCATTACAATCATTCACATTTTTGTCATATAAACTTTACAGTGCTAAAAAAATGGGCATAAACCAAATGATTACTGCTAGACATGAAATGTTAGCTCACATTTTGCATTTTTGTGGAAGGCATATCCTTTGCACCAGGATGTGCTGGTCCTAAGGAACATGCTGGAACTCAAAAGTAGGATTTAAAGTGCTGTTTATTAGAGATTAGACTATCAAAAGACAATTATCACAGAAAACCACATACCTCTGTAGGTGCTGTGAGTACTGGGGATGCACTTTGCTGTCCAGAGCAGAGGATGTCCTTTTTTTATTGTTTTCTTACAAGGAAGCAACTGTTTTCATAATTTCTGCAGTCAGGGTGAACATCATGAATGCTCCTGTTGGTCCTGAAAAAGTATTGTCTTTGTGTGCTGTCTTAGTAAAAAATGATCTACAGAAGCTCTGATGCTGARTTGTTTGTTTGTAGGAGCTGGTGAAACAGAAGATAAAGCGACAACTGACCAAGCAGCAAAAGTCTGCACTGAGGCAACGGCTGCAAAAAGGGGAGGCAAATATTTACACCAAACARCGGCGAGAAAACATGCACAACATTAAGTCAAGCTTGGATGCAGCCAGTTTCTGGGGATAATTTATTAATGYGCCTGTGGAACATGAGAAATGTATAGAACTGAAAGAATTACACTAATTTGCCTTTTATAYAAAGGAGCAATCTCTTCTATGCAAACCAGATGTTTTTCTGGAAACCAATAAATTTTATTCTCGTTCATGTGACTTTGGGATTGTGTTTTGTGTTTCTAGTCAGAGCAGTTGACYGTCATTTACTGCTAGCTTTAGCACTGGTTAAAATAATGACTGATTTTCAACAGTATCTTATTGTAAATGTATCATAGTGTGTTTATTGTGCAGAGGATTGCCCTTAAGAGAGAAAGAAGGAAACATTTTAAAACCAGTTTTAGCAGTGATGCTGAATTTGAAAATGTGATCAATTTGTGTGATGAATATGCATTTGTTGAGGCTGGCAATTGTCCTATTTCCCTTCAGTCCAGTATTTCACACAAGGATTTTAACTGAGCCTGGCTGCTGTGTTTTCTCTCTGTTCACCCTTCATTTCATTCCCCAGGCATGTGCTTAAGGCTGTGTGGAATCATCATGGAGCTGATTGCAGGCTGCCTCACCACATTCTATCCAGGAAGCAGCAATTGCTCTGAACTGTAATTTCCATAGTTATAACTTCTGTTAGAAAGTGAATGTAACTTCCTTGTTTTCTCTAATTTTACTCCCAGTCATCYTCCCACGCTTGGGTACTGCTGAATTTAATCACTTTGTACTTGCAAAGTGCGCTGGCACTCTTGGGTGTAAAGTGTTGAGCCTTTACAACATGCTATTTTAATCCAGACTTGGGTAATATTTGTTTTATTAACGTCATTATGAAGATAACATTTTTTGTTAGATGGCTCTACAACTGCTGAAAGGAGGAAATCATACCCTGGGTTGCAGTGRAGCACGTGGGGAAAGGAATAAATGATTTGGCAACAAAATAATCACAGGCAATAGGGAACCTTACATCTGCTTAGTGAAAGAAACCTTAATTCRTTTTTCTGTTCAATTTTTAAGGGAAATCCTCAAATAAAAACAAATGAAAAGYAATGGAATATTTACAAAGAAGGAATAGAATCTGATTGTGGTATGGCTTAGTTACCAGAAATCTATTTCTAAGAGCAGGGCAGAACTACACAAAATGTAATAAAAAAAAATTACTTGCAGAACTGCAACAATCTTGAGGAACCACCAGCTGGCTGCATTCAGGATTTCATGCCCTTCTCCATCCCCAGATTGAACTGCTGTTGGAAAAGGTGCAAAGCCAAGGGATCCATGAAACAGGAGAGGTTCCCACGACATTCCATTTGTCTGCCTCTCTACACTCTTTCTGATTGTACTGACAGCAAAAAAGCGCTTTGACAAAATGAGCATATACCTGAAATTAAAACTCAATACATTTTATCTGTGTAACTTGCATAAACACAATTTTTCTTCAGACACAAAAACACTTTGAGTCAGTTCTACTAGGAAAAAGTTCTCTCTGAAGATTTACGGTTTATCAGGAAATTTATCTCACAACTACAATGGACAGAAAATCCACTTTCATAYTTGTTTTCCCCTGCTAATAATGAAGAGTATTTACATATTTTAGAAAAATTAGCATATTGACTTGCACTTTAATGCACTTTAATGACTTGCACTTTAATGTGTCAGTTTTCTTCAGTGACACACTGCTCCAGACTAATCCATGACCATGCACATGCCTAAAAACATCTCTGATGATTATAATTTATCCAGCAAATTAGCGATCTTTAAAAGGTCAGACCAAGCAACTCCCCAAGAATAATCTAAATGTAAAGTTTTAATTCAGAAAACAGAGACAACAGTCAACTGGAAAACGTTTTATTCAACAACAAAGTAAAACCTATTCTACCAAGCGCTTTTTTTTTGCAGCAAAACAAAACAAACAGCCAGTGAGAAAAGTAGTAGAATTAAGGGAAGTTGTAGCAAAAAACAGTCTTCTTCAAACTTGTTTCTAGTTTGTGTAAGTAACTGCAAAACTGGCAACTAGAAAACTCTCAGTAATCTGCCAATAACCAGTGAAAAGCAGTTTTAGTTAATAAAAGTCATTCCCCAACACTCAAAGTGCATACTAGGAATCGTGCATCTCTCTCACCTACCTGGSAGGCTGCACAGAAGCACCAGTACCAGCCTACATTAAAAATGGTACAATTTCAGTATTAACACCTTGCAGGTAAAAGCCAAAGTCTGTGGAATTATCCTCAAGGACTTCTGACACTGGTGAAGTGCTGCTCTGTGAGTTACACCTCAACTTCCTTTGGTTTCATGCCTCTTACCACAAGAGCTATGACATGCATTTAGKGGGGACTGTGAAGTAAAAATTTAGGAAAGGAATTGCTTTCCCCTCGATTTCCAGGTTACCCACAGATGTACTGAGCCCAGAAGCGTCTACATCTTCCCCTTCCTAGTGTGTCTGAGTCCCTGGGAGACCTTCACAGATAATATTTTAGAGTGAACAGTGCAGCACTTTAAGTCTGCATCACAACTCCCACAACCACAGAAGCACAAACGGTGCAGCTTTGACACCAGGCACATTCATAATCCCAGTGACACAAACTGTGGTTTATTGATCCTTGCACCAGAGTAAGACTGATAAACTGTTGTTGATAAATATTCTGGTATCAGAAAGCACAAACAGTAGTATCCCCTTGAATAAAGTTACCTGACAGGCTTCAGATAACTTCAGATAAAACAGATTAACAGGCTTCCCTGTGGGGAAGCAGAGGGGCACAGCCTCTCAGCCATCCCTCTGACCTCCTTTCCCTTGTAAGTTATACTTTTATTCTCTTCTTTGAGGGTATGGAWAASMCMAAGTTCCAGTCAATGTCATTCCATKATTAGGTAGAGTTTGACTTTAGTCTTACATGTGAAGCATGTACAGATTTCATTTCATTACCACATGTAAAGACAAAAAGTTACCATGTATTTCAAGGTAATGAAACAAAGTTCAGCTTTTAATGACTGATTGGGCCTTTCCTCGGCTTAGCTCCTGTTGGTTGCATTATTTTAAACACAGCCACTATACCTCTGTGCYATTCCATCCTTTGTTTCCTGCTCTCTCAGGATGGCACATCAAGCTCCCTCAGTTTCCCTGCTCCCAACACACACAGTTTTTTTCTGGTGACCCGCTGCCAACACAGACACTTCTCCTTGCTCAGCCTTGTCTTTTAGCATTTCTCCACAAGGACTGAAGGAAAATGCTAGTTTATAACACCTACTCTCTAAAGCTACAGAAAATGTAGGTGATGCCTGCACCAGGACCATATGGCTTTGTGGGTATTGAAAGTCAAAATATATATCTTCTGTTTGGGTGAGAGAATACACCTCCACAAGATGTGTACATGCAAAGTGTCTTACCCGAAAAGTTCTTTAAGAATGCACACTAGTGGACAAAAGCATAATTCAAAAAAAGAAGAGAACTAGTTCTGGTGGAAGCAAAATTGCTGTGGATAAAAGCACACYGACCAGAAAGCACAGAACAGCCCACAAGCATGCCAGGAGGCACCAACAGTCTGCATCCAGAAGAATCAATCAGCGAAACAYTGGAAGTCTTTAAAAGCCTCTGACCCAATCTTGAGTAATCTGCTTAGGCAGGGAGGTCGGACTAGATGGAATCCAGTGATCCCTCCCAACCTCACCCACTCTGATTCTGTGAAAATGAATAACAAGTCCAAATCCCTTCTCACAGTTCCTGTTATGTAATTTTCCTGATGACTTTCAAGCTCTATTGCTAACATTGCTCTCATGCACACAACTGGACATGAAGAGCTGAAAAMGAGAGGAAGACAGAGCAAAATGCCATGAGCAACTTCTTTCAGCCATCCCCTCGGTGTTTATTTGTATTACCCTGCACAGTCTCGCGTGCTTTCTGGACACTGAGACCTTTATTCACTATGCAAATGAATAAACTCACTCCTTATATTTCTTCCCTCATGGAGTTATCCCCAACTATCCTAAAAAGGGATGACTATGTTACACTTGGTATTCAGCAGGAGTTGCTGATTCTGGGTCTTTAGYTGAGCAACAAGGTCAAGGGTCTTACGGTTTTTTTTTAACATCACTACTCCTGCAACTGCACCACCAAGTAGGGGACTCCGCAAACAACACAGGAAGTATTTGGCTTAAGCAGCAAGTTACTTTACAAGGTTTCTCATAATGTTTAAAGAAGACCCTCTGTAGCCTGAACCAAAATGGTTCCAATGGTTCATGTAGTGAAACAGCTGATAAAGCTTCAGGCGTTTCTCAAACCCTGGGGCTTTGGGGATTTTACCATGATAAGCAGAATAAAAAGAACTGTTGAAGCCACCAAACATCCCAGCTATTGCAAGCTCATACTCTGAATGGCCGTAGAAAGAAGCCGGGTCAAAGATAATCGGACCAGAATCATCCTCAGCTACATTTCCTCCCCAGAGATCCCCATGMAGGAGAGCAGGAGTGATTTCCATGTCGCAGAACAAACTGGGTATCTTCAGCTGCAAGGGGAGAAAAACAAGACACGTAAATTACACAATCATTCACCTTAAAATTTATACATTTATCTGTATACTTGAAACTTCTTAAAACCCATAATTTGAAACAGCGTAAGACCTGATCAACAGAGATGCTGTACATCCAGAGGATTCCTATTTTTCATAAAAGCTAGCAGGAAAATAATCATCCACATCTTTCGTAGCAAGAAAATAAAAGCCTTAAAGTTCAATTAGCTGCTGCAATACTGACCAGGGTTAGTAGCAACAACCACCAAGACTTCAYAATTAGAAAGCTCAGGGATGTCTCACTAAATTTCCACAAAGTAGTACCCAAAGAGCCGATCCTGCATTCACTTGTTCAGATGTAAAAACAGACAACATGCAGAACAGAACTGYTTATGTACATTTCTAATTATGAATATGTTACAGGGAATAATAAATATGATCTCCAACAGTAAGATTTCCCAAAAAGTAAGGCAAAGTGCTATTTKGCACTTTGGAATTCACTCTGGAATGTTAGCATAGGGTGGTGTGGCAAAAGCCATTATACCTTAGAATAAAGGGCATTTTAATCTCTAAAAATTTGGATCTAATCAACAGGACCTGRAGCAAACCAACAAACAGGAAKTTTGTTTAAAAAWRTAAAATCTGARTACRTCCAGCWCTCCCAAWAATGAGAGYTGTGRGAATTGCTCCTACCTGAAGCTGTGCCCAAAGTTCTCTTGCTTCTCTGTCTCCTGATTTCTTTTCAACCATGTCCATCTGGGGCTGGATTCTTTGTCTGGCAAAGAAGGTCACCCAGTCACTCTGCCAGTCATTCACCTGATGGAACAGCATTGCAAATATTAGTTCTACACCACAGAAAAGGCAAATTTTTTTTCTTCAAATAAGCCTTTTGAGGATTACACAGGCTTTGTGCTGGTACCAACCAGGACAGTAAATGCTATCTTTTAATCAAATGTTATTTTACAATATTAAATTAGGAGGATAAACTATTTTCTCTCAGTGATTAAAATCCATGAAATTGAAAAGCTATCAGTGTCCAGTGTAGCTATAAGTGCACTACTTTCCTTAGCAGGCTAAACCATGTTTTTTCCTTTCATGGTTCCCCAAAAATTCATTTATTTCCCTTATGATATATTTTTTTGCATCACTAAAGAGAAAACAAGACAAATTTAAAATTCTATCAGTCTGATGAAGTACAACCTACCTGTGGAAGGTAACCACAGCAGGTAACTGTATGAAAGCCAAACTGATCCACATACTGGACTTCTGTTTGCCCTTGACCTTTACCTTTCAAACCAAAGACAAAAATTCAACACCAGTGACAAAATACTGAGCATCCAYGACACAAATTACCTTAAAAACTATGCACAAGTACAATGCTGCTTCTACTGAGAACAAAAAGATACACACCTTCATGTTCTTTTTGTGGTTACTGCTGTTGTTTTTTAGATTTACAGCTTGATGCACAGCAGTTATATTCCACTTTTCATAACTCTATTTTGAGGTACTGGATCTCTCCTACCATGTCCTTGTAGAAACTCTGATTTGGGCTCCAAGGGCCCCAAATTAAGTATGTGTTTTGCTTATATGGAYCCAAAGAGAATAAACAAAGAATACCAATAAAAAGCAAAGAGAATCCCTGCCTCAGTATGTTTCATGCAAACTTACTCTCATGTTATCTTCACTAGAAGATGAACCTGTCCTGCAGTAGCAAAAGCCATTTTAACTATTTTGTAAATTATTATAAACTAAGTTAAATKTGCAAACAGCTGTGTACTGTACCAACTGTGTTCCCTTCTTTCTTCAGCTTCTCTCCAAGTTGCTGGTTATGAAGGTGAAGATCAGCCAGCTGTGATCCAAGYAATGCTGAATGTCTAAGAAACAAAAATCATCTTTGTAACACTGACACCTGAACAAACCAATTCTCAATATTCCAGAAGTTACTTGTAGAGATTTATCAAGTAACTGAAAGAAGTTCTACAYCTCAAACAAAATATTTTTCAGACTATTCCAGTTACAAACACTTTGTCTTCTGCRTATTAACACAGACAGAATGTACTTACTTGGCTGTTTCTGATACCACTATTGAAAGTGAAAATGAGTAGCAACCATGAATTTACTGACAAGGAGAAACTATCAATTCTAATTTCTGTGCGACACCACTTCTGTAAGCACTTGTAGTAAGATGTGTAAGAAAGTGTGCACACGTTATGCCTTTTTTTTTTTAAGTCTGGCAAACTGTCTTTGGGAAATAGAACCAAACAAAGCTGACAGCCTTTTCTTTCTACTGCTGTTTCTGGCTGCTTTTCTCTAAAATGCCTAGATGATGAGAGAGTCACGTGGGCCTAGTTTATCACCTATTTTTAGTAAAACCTTATCCTCTACACAGTTCAGAAGTCTTGCAGTAATTACAAACAAACCTTACAGCCAGTTGACTCCCATGTAAACAAAATTGTGTTCCTTTTACTGATTTTTACCTTTCTCAACTTTCCCTGTTCTCAAGGCACTGTCAATCCCAAGGCAAAGTTATTTCTTCAATTTGCTCCTGTTAACACAGACTGTAGCTATCCCCTGAAATTTGCATGCCAAAGGTACCATTTGAGCCCAAAACAGCAACATCTCTGCTCTTTCTCTCAACACCCACTGAGGGTTCTTCGTGAATTAGAAACTCTGCCAACGAGCAGGATGAGGAACAAAACTTCAAACTGGCTACAGAAGTTTTAAGAGAGAGATGAGAAATTGGTCACCATCCCCTCCCAAACGGAACCAAACAGATGGATTCATAATATTAAGTGCTTGTCACAGAGAAGGGCCAACAGTTTGAAGCTACCAAAATGAAGATAAGAGCTGTAAAAATGCTGAAATCAAGATTAATTGATTTGGGGAAGCTTCTTGGCAAACTCATGCCAAACAATGAAGCACTCGTATCAATGGCAAGTACACAAAACAGGTGATCAGGCTTGTTATTTTACTTCCTGTAAAAAGCAAACTTACTGTAAAAATCACTAATTACCTGAGCAAACCCAAAACCCAAACTTACTTTAGGATGTATGATCAATTTACTAGGTGAGGCATTATGAACTATTTTACACTGCTCCCTGCTGTATAATTTCCTGTATGTCTCTTGACTCGCTTCAGAAAAAAATTCAAAAAGCTTCCCCTATGAAAACAAGTGATTTAACTGTCAACAGCAAACATCTCTGGTTAAAGGAAGTAAAAATAACACTGTGTATTACCTGTTTAAGCCTCCCATTTCCAAATGTTCCATCACAAATGCAGTACTGCCTCCGGGCAGGTCTAGAACTTTGATGGGTTTAGGCACTTTTATTGTGTGTGTTTTCAGGATGGCTTCCAGACTTGCCATTTCTCCCTCAAACATTCTTCTGGCCTGMCAGATATTAAAGGAAAGCATTTGTGAGCATCAATCACAGGTAAACGAAGCACTCTCACAAAATAAACTGATTTTGTAAAAATTAAATGGGTTTAAAAGTAAATAAAAGGTTACTCACACAAAGATAGAACCACATCATCAGACTCAACAGTAGTTTTATGATTATAGTCATTTCACTTCATAAAACAACAGAGTGAAAATGACTTAGGTTCTTGCATTCTCTAACTYTGTTTGCAGCTGAAGGAGTGCAAACTGCTTATACATAACGCATGAGTAATATTCTATTAATATTAAAAATGTCTAAGAAACTATGGACAAAATACATCACCAGCTGGAAGATGAGAAGAWTTGTGCTGACATTCACAGACATCATGGCTTTCCAAACACTGCTTAGTAATATAGTCAAGCTTTAAAAATAGTTCTACTTGTGCTCACAGAACTTTAGCAACATGGAATGGTAAAGGTGGAAAAGCCCTCTAARATCCCTGAGTCCAATCACTAAGGCAGCACTGCCCTGGACTGCCTTTGCCACTGCCTGGCCACCCTTTGTGTGAAGAAATTTTTCCCAATATTCAACCTAAGCCTTCCCTGGCACAGCTTGAGGTTGTTTCCTCTCACTTGTTCCTGGGAGCAGATCACAGAAGGTCCCCCCTGAACCTCGTTTTCTCCAAGCTGAGCCCCCCAGTTCCTTCAGCTGTGTCCCATTACACTCATGTTCTAGTGCTTTCACCAGAATGGTTTTCCATGGTGTTTTCTTTTACCTCAGAGGGGAAAGATGTGGGTGGGAATCAACTGTTGCAGCCAAACGCCCCTTATCACACTTGCACAACCCAAGCCGCTACCAACGGCAATTTGTTTGTGAATTTAGGACCTATTTCTGCACCTGTAACCCACACCACAGAAAATCTACTCTCTCATGCTCCTCCTTTGAGCTCAGTGATCCCCATCACATGAAGAAATGCTTTTCTTGAAGAGTTAGGCAGAGGCTATAGAAAAAAAGAGCACGTGGGAAATCTAACGTATCTGGCAAAAGCAAAAGCAGGGAATAGAATGAATAAAATAGAAAGAGAATGTCCTTTAGTAATGAGCCATGAAATACAGTCAAAGGACAATCTGCAGTAGATATCAACTAAAGATAGAGGAAATCATAGAATGGTTTGGGCTGGAAGGGACCTTAGAGATCACCTMARTCCTCCATAAACACCACCTTGTTCCATACCTTCYACTCTCCCAGTTTTCTCCAAGCCCTGTCCAGCCTGGCCTTGGACACTTCCAGGGATCCAGGGGCAGCTGCAATTCTCTGAGCAACCTATGCTAGGGCCTCACCACTCTCAAAATCAGAAATTTCTTCCAAATATCTAACCTAAACCTACTCTCTGTCAGTTAAAATCCATTCCCCCTTTCCTGTCACTTCAGGCCCTGGTAAATAGTCTCTTCCCATCTTTCCTGTAGGCTACCCTCAGACTCTGGAAGGTCACAATTATGTCTCTACAGGCTGAACAATCCCAACTCTCCCAGCCTTTCCCCACAGGAAAGGTGCTCCATCCCTCTGATCATCTTTTTTCTGACTCAAGAGTGAAGAACTGCTGAGTTAATGTGCCATCACTAATCAGTAAATACCATGTTTCTCTAAAGCATTACACTTAGCTAAAGTGAACTGCTCAAACAGAGCAAGAATTGCTGATGCACAGCTGCTGCTGCTCACACAGCACAGCATTTACAGCACTTCAACAAAGTTTGCTTTAATCAGCGCTCCCACACACAGCCAAAAGCATACAAAATAAAATTGCTGAATAGAAAAATCTATCCAGGTCACTTTTTTTTTTTCCCCCTCAAGCCTGATCTTGCAGCTAGTTGGATTCTATAGTTGAATACAGAATTAGCAAAGGCCTAAGAAAAGGCTGTACCAATTCAAACTCTTTTTCTGTAAAACAGGATAACCTTCCTGTATTATCCTATGTTACCACTTCATGAATCCATTCGACTCCCCAACCTCATCAAAAATTGTTGAGAAATTTGGAACACACATAGTGGCCCGCACACTTTCAAATACATTTGTTTGCTATGAAAGGCAAATAAAAAAGTTTTGACTCCTGTTCTGCCACTGAAGCTATTTATGTGATAGACACAAGTACAGAGCATCTTTAAATTCCATCTGATCTCTGCTTTTGTAAAGAATCCTGTAGAAATATGTTGCACTGTACTTATCTCTACCAAATGCAGGTATCTACCTTCAACATTAAGTTCCAGGTACAGAAAGGTCAAAGCCAAAAATCTTGAATAGCTGTGAAAAAAATAGCACTTATGGAGAAGAGCTCTTTCTTGTGTGCAGGGGATTAAAAGTTTAGTTAAAACCACAAAACGTGCACACCTGCAGCACACAATTTTATACCATCTGGGTTGCCTTAGCCACTATCCCAGCACTTGCAGTCACTGTTACATCACTGCYACAACCTGTAAATCATAACAGCACATTATGGCACGTCCTGGACAAAGAACACTGAAAACCACAATACCTTCCCACCACAGAATCATTCAGACAAGAAAAGACCTCCCAGACTATCACGTTCAACCTTTGACCTCTCTGCACCTTGTCACCCAGACCACAGCACTGAGTGCCACATCCAGTTGTTCCTTGGGAACTACAGAGATGGGGACTCCACCACCMCYCTGGGCAGCCCCTTCCAATGCTTARCAACCYTTCYYATGAAGAAATTYCTCCTGACAGCTAAACTGATCTTACCCCGGCACAGCTTCAGGCAATTTCCTCTCCTCCTGTCCCTGTTCCCTGGGCCCGACCCTTCTTGGGAGAGCCACACGGTCCCCCCAATCCTCTTTCTGTGCAGGCTGAGCACCTTTCCCAGCTCTCTCAGCCGCTCCTGATGCTCCACACCCTTCCCCAGCTCCATTCCCTCCTATGGACAGGCTCCAGCGCCTCAATTTCTTCCGTGAAGGAGCCAGATTCGGAAAAAACACTCTATGTGTGGCCTCAGCACAGGGGCGATCACTGCCCTGCTCCTGTTGCCCACCATGGCTGCGACAGGCCGGGAATGCTGTTTCCCATCCCGGCACCATTCCCACCCCCGGCACCCACCGATCCCTACCCCGCCACACCTCCGACCGAGAGTTGCTCTTGACGAACACCCGGCCCTGGTCCGTGTCGTAGCTCCGGCCCTGGCTGATGCAGCCGCCCCCCGTGTGCCCGGTCGGCCGCAGCA